TAATGAGTGAATATTTAAAGACAATTTGTTTGAGATGATACACGCTGGCAGAACACCTCAACTAATGTTTTTAACAAAGTCATATAACAAATCTTCTTTTAAAAAATATTTTCACCATTTTTCCCAATATTGAAGTCAAACAAAATATTATTCAGAAATTAAAATCTTCTGTTGTGCTATTCATCTTCAAATTGTTATCATAACCTTTATTCTTCTGTTTTTTGATCATTCTTTTCAACAAAAGTGAAAGAAGACATATGGCTCTCAGACTCAGGTTTCTATGATGTATCTGTGTATTCTGTTATTGGCCTTGAAAAAATCTAAATCTTTTCTAACAGTATGAATTGTACCGCAGGAAGCTCATTAATTTCCAAGTTCAAATTTGATAATCATTTTTACTAATACCAATATTTTATTTCAAGTGTTTTCTTTTTTTAGAACAAAAGTTCCTTTAGGAAATTTTAAAATTTCAGTTAAATTGATTTTTTTGCCATTCGCATTACTCTCATAACACTGAAAAACAATGATTTTTTTCCCATGGTCTTTAAAAAGATCCCTAACTTTGCCTTCCAAAGATCATAGTTCCTTTTTTATTTTACAAAGTACATTTAAACACTAAGTTTCTTTTCTTTTCTTTTCTTTTTACTTAATATTTGTACTAACAACAACTTTGAAGGAAATGAGTAAAAAACAGATAGAACAAAGGAAGTCTGGTTCAAGTATCATTGCAGACTAGGTTTTTGTAAGGGGCCTTCCTGCTTCAAAGAAACACAATTCTGAATAAAACATAACTCTACTTCCTTGCTGGGCCTTCAGGAAGTGGGAACAATCTCCCCTAGTCTAAAAGAAGAAAGAGAGAAAAAGAAACAAACTTAAGATGGAGACAGTGAACAGAAGGCATAAAAGCAATGACTGCAGCCTTGGAGCCGAAGCCTTGGACCAGTAGCAAGATGCAGGAGGTACTGAGGAGAGACTGTTCAATTAAACTGGACAACAGAAAAGGAGCATACAGTAGCCTCAGGGCAGAGTTTTCCTCATTTCTGCTCTGCAAACACAAATACAAATCTTCTTTAAAGGAGAGCCTCTTCAATTTAGTTGCTATGAATGCCTACAGTTTAGCAACAGCAAACGCCAAGGTAACAATAAAAGATAATCAAACATAAAAGGTAACAAGTCACCATGAGGGAGAATCACCAGAATAGCAAATATCTGATTCGGATCACCAAGGATTCCAGATATTGGAATTATTAGGTAAGAATATAAAATTAAAGAATTAAATGTTGAAATATCCAAAATTACAAATAATGAAAGACTATCCGAAATTACCAGGCCATTACAAAAACAATTTGATGGGGGGAGCCATGTTAAAATTAAAAACTCGATGTATGGGTTATATAAAAAGAAGACACATCTTCATTAGAAACACCACCATTAAAGTTAAGAATATCATAAGATGATAAGGTGCCGTCTGAAATATGGAGGAAAAACCTGAATAAGGAATAGGAAAAAAATCTGTGCATAAAATTTTTCTGAAAAACAACTAAAAAAAAATGGGTAAACATAAGTTGTGCTTTCTCAATATTTTAAAGATGTCAAATGTCAAATTTAATGAAATTCCAATTCAAATACTAATATGGTTTTTTATGGAACATAAATATTGATCCTGAAATTTACTTGGAAGGAAAGAAAATGCCAGAGGATAGCTAAAATTGAAAAAGAAAAACAAGAAGTAGGAGTTGCCCTACCAGGTATCAAAATATACAATAAAGCTATGCTGGTTAAACAGTGATATATAAGTGTAGTGAAAGGCAAGTAGACTAATGGAAAGTGATACTGTTTACCAGAAAACTAATAATGAATACTTCTTTGTATTCGTACGCACACTTAGAATAGTATATTTAATTTTATAAAAATATCATACATTATCACACAATATGTTGTAATATATAATATATTAAGTAATAATAAAACAATATGAGAAGATCCACAAAACTGTTACTAATTGCTACTTGTGGGGAGAGGAATTGATTTGAAGGGGAAATGAGCAAGAAGAATATTCCCTTTTTGTACTACATGCCGCTTCATTTACAGTTTTTATGGAATGGCATTAATCCATATACTTTTGTATACTAACTGATCTGATTCTGGTGACCCAGACAGGATTAGTAGCCCAGAAAGAAGGGTTAAGAGCAATAGAAAGGTGTAATCAGGTTGACTGTTTGGAAGAGCAACCCCCAGCAGAGAGAGTTCCCCTATGCTCTGAAAATCCTTTTTTACTCCCCATGATGACTCCTCCTTCAAATGACCAAGTTGCTGGCTTCCAGCAGGGCCTTGCCATCAGTAACTGCCACCTTAGAGACAGTTTAGGATCTAAAGCAAAATGCAATTGAACATTTAGTATGATACCAAAGTCTATAGGGATAAACTTACTGCTTATTTATCACTGGAAAGTGGTAATAGAACAGTCTTCCAAAAGAAAATTGGTTTCAGATTATTTTTGGAGGAAATTATTTAATCTAAATTGCTTTGATCTCAAAATCCTCTAATTTAGCAACTCATTGACCAAAACATAGTTTAATCAAAAGCTCTTCTAAAAAAAGAACGCTTCCTTTAGTTTTCCCTGTTCCCTAACTTATCCCTAGTCCTATAAAATATCCAAAACCGTTTTATGGCAATAAAGCAGCGGCTTAACCTTGTAGCAGAAAGCCCTGCTGTTTATTGTGAAGACATAATGACTGAGATTATTATGCATTTATCAAAGTGACATAGCTTTAGACTAATGTGAAAGACAGCATGACAAGCTTTATTATAATGTAATGGTTTAGAAGTCAAAGCAAAAATAGAATGATAAAAGTGTTTTGGAAGAGGCCAGGGAGTCGTAACACTGATAGTAGCTGTACAAAATCAATTCTGACTTTAAGGACATGTTTTCATTTGCTTTTAAAGTTTCAAAGCACTCTGTAATGATAAAATACCTAGTATTTATTTTTGATAGATTCATTAATTTAATTAATAAATGAATTTACTAATTTCTCAAGATTTATTGAGGACCTACCATGTGTGTAGTACAATGCAAAAAAGACATAGTCCCTAACTTCACAAATCCTATCAGTTAGTTGACAGTTACACTATTTTACATATTATATAAAACATATGTTTAATGTACATTAATATGTGCTAGGTCCCAGGAACAAAAATTAATCTTTGCCTCTAAGCACTCAAAACCTAGTGAAAGATATAATGTACATATACAACCTGGAGTACACAAGTCAGATTATGTTAAATTCAATAATGGAAGTTATAACAAAATGCTAAAAGATCTCAAAAAATAAAACAAATAAATCTGACTAGGGCATCAAAAAGAAAGTTTTCACTCTGAGCTTCTTTGGTACTTAGATTCATGGTAATGTATCTTCACTTGAAGCTGTCGACAGATAATTGAACAAATACTGCAAGATGCCAAGCACTATGACAGCATACAAGCTAAAAAGATATTGACCCTATTAAGGAAGCAAATTAATATTTCAGCACATGACAAAGGCTCTAATGAGGGACATGGGTGCAATGGGAATGCAGAGAAAGAAACTACTCAGTCTGCATGAAAGACTCCAGAAAGTCTGAAACTTCCAGGATAAATAGACATTTGCCAATTGATCACAGAGGAAAGGAGATTGAAGTCAAAAGCAAGAGCATGTTGCAAAGCCATGAGTCAGCGTGGTGAAAACGGCCTGCAGAGTTTGATATGAGTGGAGCATTAAATGAATAGAAGAGAAAAGCAGCAAGTGAAGTGGGACTGGTAGACCAGAGGAGGGCTTTGTATAAAAGGTTAAGAATTTTAGAAGTGATGGAGGGCAAAGATGAGGAATTAAAGAATTTTTCTCACAAACCATTTAATTAGCAGAATAGAGGGCAGATTGAAGTCAGACCAGTCCAAAAGTTGGGGACATATTCGAATTCCATTGTAGCATTTCAGGCAAAAGAAGATGAGATTTTGAATTAGAACCATGTCAGATGAGAAGGAGAGGTGAGGCTGATAAACATATTTTGATGGTAGAATCAATAAGAATTGACAGTTGATTGGTGAAATTTAAGGGAAAAGGAGATTTATATTATAAATATACAGTAAAATATGCAAGTTTGGCAGGACTTATGGCAAGAAAGAAGCTAAAGAGTTATAGATGAATTTCTATTTAATTTTTATATATACATGTATCACTTTATAATAAAATTAAAAGTAAGATTCACTGAAAGAGTCTCTGAGGTTGTCTCAAGTAAGCCAATTGCCTACCTTTCTTTTCTTTACAACCAAGGTCTTGAAATCTATCACATGTTAATCTATCACTGGATCTAGAAGCCAAGCATTATATAAAATGGAAGTTTTACAGAGGAATAAATGACAGGATTCTTAGAGATTAAGAAATTTTCCTAAGGAGATATAAATAGTAAATAACATGAATTCAACCTAGGCTATCTGATTCCAGTGCCATGTTTTCCCTATCATATTTAAAATATTTCATCGATATCATCAAATAGAAATACACTGATGTACTAAATTGAAATGTTCTTAAAGTACTTGATAGTCTTCAGATTAACTTTGGTTTCTTACTTACTGAGTCTCTTCAGTATCAAAGCAACAATAGTTAATTGTCTGTGTGTATTCCACATCTTACCAAAGTAACATTTCCTCATGCCTATTTCTGTTTTTTACTATTGAATTAGTGAGAACATCTTTTAAATCTCAAGGTTTGACATATTAAGAGCTCAATAATAAGGATTAAATTCATGAGTACATGTTTTAAGAAGAAATTTTAATGAAATACTTTGTCCAGCTGCCCAGGACTATTGTTAAATGACTGTCGATATAACATCTTTTCCAAATATAGATTTCTAAAGACATAGCAGTTAGCCAGCATATTTTAAAAATCTACACCATCTCTCGGGGTAATTCACGATCAAGGATAGATTTGCATAGAACTAAAGCAATGTACAATGTTACTTACTTTATCTTTGGAGAAGCTGAAAAGTTGTTTTCTTGTAGCAAAAAATTGGACAGCTAAGACACTGGCTGAGTGACCCCAAAGAACACCAACTGGCTTAGAGACAACATAAGGGTTCCAAAGGCAAACTTTATTGTTAATGCCAGCAGTTGCTAATCAGAATTAGAAAGAAAAAAAATGTTTTTAATAATATGAATAACTCCCAGCATTTTCTTTTTGAAATGAATTTATCACATATCTACAGATAAATGTCTTCTGGCCACTAATGTACCTGTCTTAAAGGATGGAAAATCTTGTCACTGCCTAACAGCCCAGGCTCATAGGGCATGAGCTCTATCATCTGAAATAGCTGAAATGGAGAAAGTAAGGGAAAAGGGATATTCATGAGGTGAAAGGACAATACTGTCCCATTTAGGAAGCAACCAGAAGCTCAACCAGGAGGGGACAAAATCCTCCTTCCTAGTTTCTGTATTTCCACTCTCAGTCCAAACAGCCCAGGGATATAGACATGTTAAAGTTATGCTACGAGTAAGAAAGAACTAAAGCAATTTAAAGTTTCCAAACTAATTAAAAAGTATATTAAAAAAATATTTTCACTACCATGTAAGGAACTGAGCATTTACAAGTATCAAGAAACACAAATATATTTTTGACCTACTTTATAGAGAGAATAAGGTGTTTTTTATTTGTTTGTTTGTTTAACATAAATTGGCTATATTCCGGGAGCATATCAAGATCAGGGAGCACAGTGCTTCTTCAGGTCTGCAGAAAGACCAGAAAAGCATTGTTTGTTGTTCCCTCTAGGACTGACTGTGGAACCTAGCTTAGTCACCCTTATTTTTCCAGCACTGAGCCATCTACAAAGTAGTTATCAGTAGAAAGGTGTTGAAATATTCAATCAATCAATCAATGAAATGGATGATATTTTGAATCCTTCCTAACTCAATCCACCAAACCCTTCAGCCTTCTCTAATAAATCTGCAATACTCCTCGAAAGCTTAATGTTGGCATATTCCTGAGTTCATATTCAAGGTATCTTTTATCATGATTGTCAGCTATTGTTATTAGGGACTCAGCTCCCTGGCTAAGAGTCTATCAAAACTCTTCAGATGAATGATAATTATTGAATGAGGGTTAATATGGCCCATTTTGCAGACCATATATGTTCAGTCTCCATAACTACCCTATTAATTTTTCAATAATACTTCACTTTTGTACTGTTTTAACTAATATCATATATGTCAAATCATCAACTTTCAAAATTTCTGTATATTTTATTTAAAGTGTTAATACCTGAAAACATTTGTGGCTTATTTCCCCAGCTAAAATATACATTTTTTGAAGTGAAAACTAATCTTTTTTATTGTGTAAAATATATTCATTTACATCAAAAGAACTCTCTTTTAGTAAACTAAAGCTAGGATAATCTGAAAAATTTTAGAAAGCATTAGAGATTGTATTCTGAAAGGTGTAACCAGTCTACATTTTGCAGTTTGTGTGTATGTGTGTGTGTGTGTGTGTGTGTGTGTGTGTGTGTGTGTGTGTGTGTAGGAGGAGAGAGAAAAATGGTGTGTGTGTGTGTGTAGTAGTAGTAGTGAGAAAAATGATGTATTTGTTTAGGTCAAACATTTGGTGGTGTTAGAAAGATGATGGAATGGTAGACACTGCACAAACATTTTATATCATTTTACTACCCCACTAATTCTAATAAAAATGCTAATTAAAACATTGGGACACTTTCTCACATTTTCACCCCAGTGTAGTTCATATAAAACGCACATCATAATGAATCATTATCAGACATTCTCAGGCAATAAAACGTGAGTTGTTCAAGTTAGTCTCTCTGGCAATAAAGCAACAAGGTGGAGAGGTTCCATGCATACAAATGTGCATTCCAGACTGTTTATGAGGCCTTCATAGTTATCATGATTTATTTTACATACCAATTAAATTGAGCCGAGAGTGGTAATCAAAAGCATGAATGCCCTGGGCAATGTTGAAGGATGTCATTTTAAGATGCTTTTTTGATTTCTCTCTCCAAGCCAGCACCACTGTATTTGTATTGTTGGTTGTGCTAGAAATGATAGCATCTAAAGATGCATTGTAAGTAACTGATTAAAAAAAGAAAGAAAAGAATTTTTAATTGATTTCTCACAAAACATGAGCAAAACAGAACTGTTTTAATATATAAAGTTAAAAATTAAACTCATATTATAACACAACCTGACGCTCAAGAAAATACCTTATTAACCCCTTCCCCCGCTTCCCATTAAAGAACTTACAGCGAAAAGTTCCAGCAAAGCCCACATTCAAACTTTTAACCAAACCTAAAGATACTTTGTTTTTTTTTAATTGGAACACATGGCAAAAAACAATATTAATCACATTAATTATACAGGACTCTGGAGAACTAAGATGAGTAATTGGCCACATCCCTGGGTTCTTCCTCCTGGGTCTGAAGCAGTCAAACAGGAGTTGAGCAGCCATCTGCTGTTCTCAAAAGTTCAGCTCATGCCCAAACCATGGTTTATTTAAGTTGTGGCTGATCTAGACAGAATGTTTGAGAGTAGCATGGCCAGGGATCAGTGCCCTGCCAAGAGTTACAAACACAGCTAGATTTAAGTGAAATGGCTATTCCTGCAATCCCAATGACCCAGTACCAGATGTTCTGGAGAATAATCCCATTTTCCAAGCAAGGAAAGTGATCCTGCTGCCTTTCCATTTATGTCAGGCTCACATGCTCCAAAGGCAAAGAGCCATAGCTGCTCCTGCCCCAGCTTCTAACTACTGCTGCCCTCCATGGTTAGATGGAAGTTCTTTGCATTTTGCTCCATGATTTGTGCCTAAAGTTGAAGGATTTCTGATTTGACTTCAAGATCAAATTCCTGCCTTACACAGAAAGAGATGTTGTAACTTTGCATAGCTTAAGGAGAGTTGCTTTAACAGAATGGCTCTTGGAAATATTTCTGATCTATATATTACAAAAAATCAAGAGTGACACTCTTGGAAGACAATTCTCAAGGGATCACTAGAATTCCTGCACTTCTTAGAAAACAAATCATTGACTCCCTTTGTTCTAGACTATCTTTTCAAAGACATTTGCATAAAATGTAGAGATGGTATCTCTTTGTACAGCAAATGGTAGACAAACTTACTACTTAAAATAATAAAGATAATGTCTTCCTCTGGAGCAAAAGCGGGCATGCATCCTGTCTACTATAAAAGATTTAGATTCTCTAAACTTGGGGTTTCTTTCCTGGAACATAACACACTGCATGTGTGGGTATCATCTGGGACCATCTGCTTTGCATCTGTGGGACTTAAGGGCAAGAGGAACTGACACAAATATGCTGCTTGCTGTGTAGTGAGTAATAAAGTCTTTTTTTCTCTAACACAGGAGTCTTATGTCCTACATCCTTCATCACTTTAAGATATGGTTTTTAAATCTCTTTCTCCAAGTGAGCACCATAGTATTTGTATTGTTGGTTGTGCTAGAAATGACAATATAATTTATCAGTAGCTAATTTGGAAATAGTTTTATTATTTTACTGAAAGAATTTAATTTGCTTTATATATGTAATTTGCTTTATATATAAAAAGTATACATAAGTATACATTGTATATATGTGTATATACATACATATGAATATATATATTTTCAAATAATTACTAAAGGCAAGGAATTGTAAGAGGCAGGATACCTTCTAGCTTCTAGCCTATTCTATGGAGTTAATGAAAACTGGAATTTATTCATTTAAGAGCGGATATTTACGTTATGTGAATATCTTAATTTAACATACTTTATATCTATCTCACTATGAAATATATGGCTCAATATGACAAATTTAAGACTAAATGAGGTTGAGAGTACTAGTGTGTCATCTATAGATATCCTCTTTCAAAATATGGCATGCAATCTTTAAAAATTTATTGGGCATCTACTATGTGCCCTGTGCTATGATAAGATTAATAAGAGAAGAAATAGACACAGTCTGGATGCCCCCAAGCTTAGAATAAAATATATGTAAATCAAACAACTAGAGAAAACTTTGTTATATAATACAGTGATAACTTAAGTGCTATAGAAAGTATAACAGAACTTCAAAGAACAAAATAGTGTGGGCTTCAGGGTTTAGAAAACATTTGGTAAGTGTTGACAAAAAGATTTCATTTCAATAGATAAGAAGTGGTGATAAAACACATGTGTAGAAAAGAAGATAAACTCTAGAATTTAGAGCCAAAAGAGGACTAATCTACTCTTTTATTTTACAGATGAAGAAATAGAGACCCAATCAAGTTCCATAATTGGCTAAAATCATCAATTGATTATTGTCAGACTCTGGACTGGAGCCCAAGCATTCTGCCTCTGGTTTTGGTACAGTTTAATGTTACATAACATTCGAGCTCAGGACATAAAATCCAAGGATATAACATAACATAACATAACATAACATAACATAACATAACATAACATAACATAACATAACATAACATAACATAACAACATCCAGGACATAACATCCAAGCTCAGGACACCATCACCTGGTAGAACTAGAGTACAAATTCAGAAGATACAGCATGATCTCTTGACCACTGGAACAGTTATTCTCAAGTTTTAATATGCACACAAGTACCCTGGAGGTAAGATCCACATTAAAATGCAGATTCTCATTTGGCAAACCTAAGGTTCTGCATTCCTACCCAAACCTCAGTTGTTGCTGCTAATGTTATGTAAGGACCACATTTTAAGTGGCAAGACAGTAGAATATGTTCTACGAACTATTGCCATCATTTAATACTCTAGAAAATTAATCCATAGTTCTTCAAATTTGGAAGATCTAATGTCCCTATGGAAATGTGATGAAAGCTACAGACCCTCTCCACCAGAAATATGTATATCCACACAATTTTTAAAAATAAAATACCAGGATTTCAGGACTCTCCCTACCCCTACTCACGAAGCCCAGTGATGATCAATCTAAAGAAGTCAGGTGATGAACCTCCACTTTGGATTGTAAATCACTTCACTTGCTTCCTCAGGTGATTCTCAAAGTTTCTATTGTTAATGGTGTTTGTTCACCCTTTGTGTTCATCAATGCCTATTTTGGGCTCCTCTTTTTAGCTCCTACTTCTCTAAAGTAAATGAGTTTAACTGGCCTTTGATGCAGAGGTTCTCCTAACCAATGCCAGAACATAATTTCTAAGAGAAAAAAGAGGGACTGGGATGATACAAAGGAGGCTTTAGGAAAGGGGACCAAAGCAGAGCTGTCTCACTGAGCACTAGGCACACAGAATAATCACCATGAAGTGTGTCGTGAAATGTGAAGTACTGCTAAAGACCAAAACAGTCTATTTTTCTACTCTGTTTAGAATTTGCCCGGATGGCGTGTTTCTTACTCATCTTCCATTATGTAATCTCCCCTAACTTCTGAATTACTTGTAATAATTATTGGGATAGTTTATTGAATGCCTCCCATGTGCTAGGCATCATGTCAGGTGCTGTCATCTTGCAACCATCTTCAGTGGGTAGCTTTCTGATAAGGAAATAGACAATCTAAAGCCAAACTCACCCAAGAGTAGGCAGCTAATTGGAGTTGGAAATGAGATTGAACCCAGTCCTGTTTGGTTGCGAGCTCTGTTTTGCACTACTGCATCATTCTTTTCCCCTAAGCCACACTGCCACATGTATACCAGGCCCAGATCTGAGGTTCTTTCTATTACCAGCTATATTTATGTCCCCCACATTCTCATTCTAAGACCAAACCCCCACTTCATCTGAGTCTTTCCTTTGCTGATCTCTTCATTTTTTTTATTGCCACTTAGTCCCCTAGAAACAGTATTTTTATGTCCTCTTTGTTTTCTCTCCATCTTTTTCTTGCATCTACTGTCTTTCCTTCTTAAAAAAAAAAATGAAAATAAAAAGAAGTGGAGAAGGGAGAAACAAAAAAAAGAAAAAGAAAGAAAGAAAGAAAAAGGAAAGAAGGAAGAAAGGAAGGAAGGAAGGAAGGAAGGAAGGAAGGAAGGAAGGAAGGAAGGAAGGAAGGAAAGAATAAATAGGAAGGAAAAGAGGAAAAAAGAAAGGAAGGAAGGGAAGGAAGGAATCAAGAAGGATTATCAGTTCCATTAAAGGTGAATCCTTTGAGTCTCACTAGGGAACAATTAATTTCAAGGGCATGAAGGTCCCTGATCACCTGCTACACCACTATTCTACTTTACTCTAAGTACCAACAGTATGAAATCTGATGACAGTTGTTCTCATTAGGAAGCAGCCTCACTGAAAATATGCCTTTTGTTTACAGAAAATGCTAAGGGTTATAACTTGGCACAGTGAAGCAATATTATAAGATCTCTAAAGTATAAAACAAACATTATAATTATATCTGCAAATCCATGGAAATTCTATAATATCATTATAATACAATCAAATTAAGTTATTTCTATCCAGAAAATTACTTTGTCATGTGTTCCCAAATTATATCTAAGTATCATCCATCGAGGCTATAAAGACATATTAAGATTTTTAATCTGCTCTGGTATTCAAAGCATAGCTTTAAGATTTGAATCTGCAGGTTACCATGTGACATTTATGGGCCTGTAGTGTTACATATTGGAGGAGCAACAATTCATACTATTTTAAAGCAAGATTTAACTTGTTTCTGATTAAATTTTAGAATGCCAGAGCTCCTGAAAATGCCTGAGTAAAAGGTAAAGGTAAAGCTATTTTCTTAAAATCAAATTATCTGATAGATAAAAATGTTTTCATCACTTCTTAGAGATAGGAAAGAAAATGATAGGTTATGATGTTTTTAAAATATCAAACTTCAAAATGGGATGAGCTGATAAAATAAATGATTTGTTTCTAATATTCTTGGTGAGTTTGTGGGTTGGTAGAAGAAAATATTTTTTTAATTTTCTTTTAGATAATATTTTGAGGGAGAAAGAGAAAACTTGATTATGTCTGTCCATTAGATGCTAACTTTCCAATTTTCTGCTCCCTTGCCACTTAGTCATTTAAAAAAAAAAAAGTATTAAGGGAAACTGCCAACAATCCTTGTCCTCGTGTGTGTCAAAATGACTTTGTGTAATAGCAATTAGGTAATGTGGGCAAAGT